GATTTGGGAATTTGGGGAAACTGCTGGCTTTTATGTGGCTGGATTTATATAATATCTAGCAGTAAAGCCTGGCCTTTCCACTATGCTCCTTTCTGCTCTTGAGTGGAAGCCTAGGGGTAGAGGGACTCAAATAGCTGTGCTCCCTTCATGATTCAGCATTGAGTCAATTGTGTGAGGAGGAACTACTTCCTTAATCTAAGTCTTTGCATCTTCATCTGTAAAATGAGGAGCATTTTCAGATTAAGTTTCACTAGAATTTCTGGGATATATTTAGGCATATTTAACTCTACTTTAGGAGTTTTGATAGAGATTTTATAGCCCACTTGCTGCTCATCACTGTCTGCTTCCTGAGTCCTGGTGCAATGTGACCAACCAGTCCCTGTTCCTACCATCATACCTTCCCTACCTACTGTCTTATCTTCCGTGACATGATAGACTTTATACTTCTGGAACTATAAGCCAAAACAAACCTTTTCTCCCTTAAGTTGCCACCTGTGAGATAGTAACTAAGACAACAAACCCCAACAATATTTTATTTAACTTATTTATTTTTGCATGTGTGTGTATATGGAGGCTAAGGAACAGCCTCAGGGGGCATCCCCAGAAATGCCATCCACTTCCTTTGAGACAGGATTCCTCATAGCTGGCTGATCAGCAAGCCCCAAAGATTCACCTGTCTCTACCTTCCCAGAACTAGGATGGTAAATGTGTGCCCCAAGCCTGATCATTTCATATGGGTTCTAGAGATGGAATTCAGGCCCTCAGGACAAGTACTTTACTTACTGGGCTATCTCCCCAGCCCCCGACATAATTTTAGCATGTGATATGCACAAGTTCAGTTATACTTCAGTGGTTAAACATGTGAATAACAGAATCATCACAGCTAGTGTCTTCCCAACATAAGGGCTGTATTACTTACTTTTCTGTTGCTGTGATAGAAACACCAACCAAAGCAACTTATAGAAGGAAGAATTTATTTGAGCTTATGATTCTAGGGGAATTAGAGTCCATCATGGTGGGGAGGCATGGTGGCAGGAGGTGGCTTGAACAGGAGCGGAAAACAGAACACTCACATCCTCAAGCAGGCACAGGAAGCAATAGCTTAAGAATTCTCTAAACCTACCCCCAGCGATGGGCTTCCTCCAGCATGGCCTCACCTTCTAAGACCTCCCAAAATAACTCCATGAACGGGAACAAAATGTCCAAGTAGTTGGAGCCTAAGGGGGACATTGTCATGCAAAACATCACAGGGTCTAAGCAGATAAGTCACATGATGTCTTCTACATAGGTCAGGTTTTCTTACCCACTATGATAATTCTTAATAGCCACTCAACTGCTTCTTAACATTAATCTTGAGTTAGTTATTTTTTTAAATGGCACTTGGGAATTAACTGCTGTTAAAATCACTTTTATAGATCAATATTTAGGGAACAACATCATATAAATATGTATGGCTATTAAGGGTTGGATGAAAATACTATAAACAGATAAAACTGTAAATGTATTATTTAAAAAGTGACCAAAATAATTAAACATATTATTATAAGAGATGCACTTTTTTATTCAACATGAAGAGAAACTTATGCATTATGCTAATTATTACGTAAACTAATATAGTGCAAAAATGAGTCATACATTGTAAGACGTGTAAAACTCTATTTATTGTAAAATTTACATATTGAGAATCAGTGCCAAAGTTTAATATGCACATGTGGGTTTTGTTGTAGAGCTCACATTCCAATAAAAAATCTAATGGAGAGAGGCAAATGCTGCTTTAGGCTCACAAAAATACATGAAAGCATTGGGTGTTACCATGTCACTCTCCCTCTCTATCTCCTGTCCTAACCCGCAAGTCCTTGGCAGCTTTCTTTGCATGTAAGGGTGATCAGAAAATGCCCAAGTTGTGTAGTCCCAGAGACCCCTGCTGAAAAGCACAAGCACCATCTCCAAATAAATAAGATGGACTTCTAGGTAGTGGTGTATTTCCAGTGGAGTGTTTCATGGTCACATTAAGCACAGGCAGGTCCTATGCTCACTGTATCAGTACCACACAGGGGACCAGAAAATCAAGGGGAAGCATTCTTGGGTAGCCTTCAGGTCCCCAGTGCTGATTCAAGCTGTGCCCCATGAGGTTAAATATAGACTTCTATCACAAGAAGAGGAGTTTCTGATCTGCCAGTAACATCATCTGTCAGTCACTTGTGGTGAATGAATGCACACATTCCAATGTTTTTTTCTTGATCAAATTTCTTAGAAGTACCCGAAAAGGAAGACGATATGGCATGGACAGAGAGGAAATAAAAGAACCTCAGGATGTCATTAAAGCCTTCCCACCTATTGTTATTTAGGAATTCTGGCTATGGACATGGTAACTGAAAAACAAAAACAAAACAAAACAAAACAAAAAACAACAAAAAAAACTGTACTAATTATGTAACTTCTAAAAATCCCTCAAATCTGATTGTATGAGGTTTCTTATCTCTAGCTTGAGTCTCTGGTCAGCAGCATTTTTATTGCCCACTTAACTTCCTTGTTTCTCAAGGTGTAGATCAGTGGATTAAGTGAGGGTGTCACTACAGTGTAGAAAAGGGTGAGGAAAGATTTTAATTGATTCAGGTAATGTGTTACCTATTGAGTATTTGACTGTCTTAATATATCAATGAAAATATAACATGAATATGAGTATTTTTATAAATATTAATGTCAATCCAATTATATTACAGCAAACATAAAAGCCACTCATATAGACATAAGGGCTGTATTACTTACTTTTCTGTTGCTGTGATAGAAACACCAACCAAAGCAACTTATAGAAGGAAGAATTTATTTGAGCTTATGATTCTAGGGGAATTAGAGTCCATCATGGTGGGGAGGCATGGTGGCAGGAGGTGGC